TGGGTTCTCCCTGTCCCCAGGTGAACTGTCCTCCTGTCCCCGGGGGCTCTCCTCACTGAAGTGCTGAGCTCTCTCTGAGGCTTATCCAGGCAGCAGGCAGGCCCTCCTTTGCTCTCGCTCATAACAGATCCCGGAGGCGTCTCCGCTCGCTCCTGGGGCTCCCGAGGCAAGGTCACCTGCTTGATTTCGGAGGGCCCATGGCCACTTCCACAGCCAGTTCCTCCGGCTGCGGGGCTTGCCCTGCTTCCTGTGCTCCATCTGGCCCCCTCTGCACCCAGGCGTCCTCCAAGGTTCACTCCCAACAGCCATACTGGAGGGGCACCCCACCCCCAGGCAAGACACAGTCCCCAGAGCCCAGCACAGGCACGCTGGAAATGTCCCATTCCACCCGCCTGGCCTTTTCCATGCCGAGCTCCAAGATAATTGAGTCCCTCTGCCCATAGCCTGTCACTCTCGGGCACCAGCCGGGTCTTTGCATTGAATCATTCTTCCCTGGGGAAGGGAGATGTAAATAGCTAATTAGAAAAGGCAACGCTCTTTTCGGACTTGGAGGAGCCAGTCCAGCTAAGCAATGAATCTTGGAGTCGCTGTGGCTCCAGGCCAGGCAAATGTGGAAGCCGTAATTCAAGAGAAGGCTCAGCGGCAGCTCGGTGCCCGTGTCCCCTGTGAAACACAAGGGTCAGCAAAAGCACCGGGAGATGCCGAGGTCCCCTGCAGACCCAGGAGACAAGCCCCTGACCTCTGCAGAGGGGCCCAAACAGCCGTGAGGGCAGCTCTGGCCACCCGGAAAGGTCGCAGGGGGGCCCAGCCATTTTCTCACGAGAATCAGTCAGCCAAGCAGAAGTGCCTCTGGAGGTCTTCTGTGAGACCCGACTGTGCGCAGGAACCACCCAGAGGGGGCGCGGGACAGCCCAAGCAGAGACGGCACACTGAGGGCCCTGGAAGAGCGAGGAGGCTGCGGACTTCTCAGAAATGGAAGCTCTTCCTGAAGCCCTCCAGGTCAGTTTGGCTACCAGAGGGCACCATTCACCTCACACCGCAGACCCCCAAACCCAAAGTCCACTCGCCCACCAACCCCAGAACAGGGTGAACACCCCCACACACACCCCCCACACCCCCGCCTCCATGAACTCTATTCCACCCATGGCTCACCCCCCACCCTCAGACAATACACACACAACACAGAAACCGCACACTGAGGGCCCTGGAAGAGCGAGGAGGCTGCGGACTTCTCAGAAATGGAAGCTCTTCCTGAAGCCCTCCAGGTCAGTTTGGCTACCGGAGGGCGCCATTCACCTCACACCGCAGACCCCCAAACCCAAAGTCCACTCGCCCACCAACCCCAGAACAGGGTGAACACCCCCACACACACACCCCACACCCCCGCCTCCATGAACTCTATGGGAGGGAGGGCTGGCCCCGCTCCACACGACGACACTACCAGGCCCCCTGGCACATCCGAGGGAAATCCTTAATCAGCCCATCTCCAGAGTGCATGTGCCCGCCTTCCATGTGCATAAGAGTTTACAAAAAAGCAAGACCCAGAAACAAGGTCCAAATACAATAGGAAACAGCTTCATCAAAAAGAAGACAAAAAATGTTTACATGGGGAATAAATTAAAAATGGATCAAAAGGGAGATCAAATGACAAACTGTTACATCCCGGCCCAACATGCCAGCTGCGACCGTCCACCCCGTGGTGCTCTCTGTCTGAGTGACGTGGCACACATCCCTAGACCACTAGACCATGGTCAGGGGGGACTCACTGGAGACTCAATCCACACAGGGACCCTGCCAATCGCTGGTGGGTTTCCACGGTCACCCATAACATTCAGATAGAAGCCCCAATGCCCTTTGTTCCTGGGGGCTTCTGGGCCATCAATCTTAATGGCAGCAGTCTGGCTCAGCTTTCTTCTGCGGAGCCGGAGTGGGGAAACCCACCTTCCAGTTAGCAGCCCAAGGCTTAACCCACAAACAGGGCTCCTGACAGGCCCCTTCAAAACCCACCAGCACTGAGCCATTCTCCCTCAGAACCAAGAGCACCACGGGTGCCCCCTAACACAGCGAGCCGGGTGAGGCCCCTCATCCCCATCGCAACCTCACACGCCCCAACTTTCCCCCTCCCGGCGGCTGGCGGGCTGGAGGCACCCATGGCTTCCTAATGTCTGGGAGGCGGTGAGCTGAGTGCTGGAGCCAGCTGGGTCCAAATCTCAGCTCCACTGCCGTCTAGCTGCCAAGGACAGGTGCCTCCTGGGCTTGTCTCCAGGGCAAACGAGTTCAGATGGGATAACGCTTCCCAATGGGCCCTTGTCTGCCGCAGGATGGATGCACACGCGCCACCTATCAGGATGACTGCCGGTGTTTTCTAGTAATTCTGCCACATTCTCTGTGTGTGTGTGTGTGTGTGTGTGTGTGTGTGTGTGTCTCATCCACACACGCACGTGTGCACTCATAAACACATGAACAGGAGCCCTGCTGGCATAACGGTTACGTATTGGGCTGCTACTCCCAAGGTCAGCAGATCGAAATGCTAGCTGTTCCTCGGGGAAAAGACGAGGCTGTCTGTTCCCTTAAAGAGTTCTGGTCTCGGAAACCCACCAGAGCAGTTCTAGCCAGTCCTGCTGGGCCGCTACGAGGCGGCACCTCCTCAACAGCGGTGAGTTTGGGGTTGGTCTTTATAAACACAGAAAGGAGCCCAGGAAGGGCAGGGGCTCAGGTACCGCTCTGCTCACCAAGATCAGAACTCAGAGCCCCCCAGCCGCTCCTTGGAAGGACTCTCCCCGCACATCTCTGGAACTCGGTGAGGGCTGACAGCAGTCGGAGTGGTTCCACAGATCTATTTACATGTGCTGTGAATCGGCAAGTAGTTTTCTAGCTTAGGCAGTCTCCAGACACACACTGCACTCCCACGTCGACCGCTGAGAGTACGCGTGGAAACGAGGACTGTTTGCCTGCTACATCTGGGGAGACATGACCTGATGCCCGCATGGCTCTTCTGGCCACTTCTCCTGGCCTCCCACCCACCGACCGGGTGGGGAACATGCAAATAGGAGTCTCCAGGGCTCTGGCCACCCTCTGAGTATAAGTGAGCCTTCTCAGAAGCAGGAAGAGCATCCTGAGACCACCAAGGGAAAACAGCCACCCAAGGAGGCCGTTCAGGGAGGTCGTGGACCAGAGCGGCATGCTTGCCAACGTGGCCGAGAAGAGGCCATGCTGTGGGTAAGCGGCTAAACCCTTAATGCTTCCGCATCCCAACTTGTGGTAGCCTGACAACGTCCCTAATAGGACTGTCTGTGTGGCCCCTGCAAGGGCTTGTGGAACGCAGCTGAGAAGTGGGCAGCGTGGGGTGCAAAGGGTGGTGCCAGAGTAGGCAAGGAGGGGAGGGGCGTGTGGGCCAGGCCTTGGGTGGGCATAGAGGTGGATTTTCCTCCCTACTAAAGTGGGAGGAGGGCAGACAGGGCCTTACCGCTGTGCCCTAAATAGCAAGTCCATTGAGCATGCTTCTGTAGAAGCTAGGAAGACAACTATCCCATCTAATAGCTACAAACTAGTCTGCAGAAGAAACATCAGCCCCCCAGAGCTCTGAGCTCCTGTCTGTTAAGTTCACCTCTTGCCTTTCCCAGCGCTTCCCTGACACCTCCCGCTTCCGTGAGCTTTAGGGGAGCGTGAGACCAGTTCTAGGAACATTTTAGGGACGCATCTTACCAATAGCATAGAGCTGGATTATAATTTTCAACTCAATCTGGCCTCACGTTTTTGTCCCTGCTTTTGAGAACATTTGGCAACTTGATTCTTGTCTTTGACTCGTGTGTGTGTGCACGCGTGCGCACCCATATGCTTAATGCGCCTTGTTTTGATATTTGTAATGCTCAATGAAGATAAGCAACATCTTGCACCAGGAAAGCTCTCTGCCCTCGTCTCCATCAACCCTGGTTTCCCCTGATGCATTTTCTTCGTTTGAGTCCACTTCCCCCACCCGTTCCTATTTCTAGTCTCTCTCTTAAAGCCCACTCAATGATTCCCTTGGATCTGCATTCCCTTTAACTGATTCTCTCTCCTGCTGTGTCTAACGAGATGTGCATTTCAGTGACTGCAATCCTCTGGGTTATTTTTCCTTCCTTGATAAATCTGCACACTCTTTTCATGGGCTCTTGGTTTGGGTTTTAATCCCAGTCTCCCACCCCCCATTTATCCGTACAGTGCAAAATGGGTGGTGGGAAAAATTGCCAGTAACTTAGCCTAGGCCAAGACGGAGGGCCAAGACACACAGATACCAGTCCTCCCGGGGGTCTTCATCGGGAGCCAGCCACATGCACAAACAAGCACTCGCTTGAGGATATCTTTGATGCAGGAGAAAAGTGTGTGCTCTGATCGCTGCCGTCAGACGTCCCTGAGTGGCTCCACCTCGTGGCAGTCCAGCCAACAGCAGACAGAACACGGCCGGTCCTGTGCATCGTCACCGCTGTCCCCAGGTCTGACACAATGCCCATGTAGACACAGTTTCAGCCACCGTGCCAGTCCATCTCCTTGAGGGGCTTCCTCTTTTCCACTGACCACCTACTCTTCCACTGCCCTTCTCCGGGGGCTGGTCCCTCCGAATGACAGGCGCACCGTGTGTGCGGCAGAGTCTCACCGTGCTGGCTGCTAGGGAGCATCTGGCCGTCCTTCTTCCAAGACCGAGGAGCTTGTTCTTCTGGCCGCCGGGGTAGGTTCGAGAGTCTTCACCAGCGTCTGAACGCAAAGCCGTCCATCAGCTCTCCGGTCTCCTTCACTGACCGGCTGCTCTCACAGGCACATGGTGTGGTCAGGTGCACCTCGGCCCGGGGCATCTCGCCCCGATCCTCGATCCTCGATGCTTTCAGGAGATCCTGTGCAGCACACATGCCCAGTAGAGAGGCTCTGTCATTTCCTCCCCGCGGCGTCCCTTTATTAAATCCTGACCGCCGAGGGGCATCTTCTCAACATTCCGGGTAACAAGATGAGGAGAACATACAGCGTACCCGGCAGCAAGACCAGCATGCGCTGGATCCTGCGAGGGAGGCACTGGCGCAGCAAGACCAGCATGCCCCGGATCCTGCGAGGAGGCACCGGGTGGGGCTGTTTGGGCTGGGAGCTGAAGGAGGCATGCCTGCCAAGAGCCATCATTTCTCTGTGGAGGAGAGGCTGGCACACAAAGTGGGCATCCGTCTCGGGCCTCTGGAAGACGTTTCCTGACCACGAGCACATGAACCTGCACTCCCTGCAACAGGATGGCCGGGATTTGCTGCTGGTGGTGAGAGCTGTGCTTTGGAGCCCAAATTCAAACTTGGGGGGACTTGCACTCACCACCGGGAGCTCGGCAGTCCCCTCTGAAAGCTGGGCGGAGGGACTGACCAGGGCGATGGCTGGATATTGTAAAATGGACAGTGTCAACACTTGGGAGACCTGCCGGCCTTGGGCGGCCCATGAGTAAGCAATGGCCACTGCCTGGCATTCTAGTACCACACGGAGACGGCAGGGCCACTGGGAGGGCCAGGCCAGGCCCGTGGCCTCGGTGCAAATGTTCCCCGGCCTGGTTTCAGGTCCCACAAGGAAGCTAACCGGCCAGGGGCTGCCGTTTGCCCACCGGTGGTGGATGAACCCACAACGATCGGGAAGAGCTACTCAGGACCCCCCTTCTCCTCCTGCACATCTGTGAGAGGCTGGGCTTCTCCTCGCACTTCAGCCATAAGGAGAGAAGCAGAGATGGAAATCCAACTGTCGCTGGTCAAACTGTTCGCTGGAGAGACTGGCAGTAATGTAAAGCACTCCGCCGGGATTCACAAAAATGCCTTTCTTTACCCTAAATATTTTCGTTTGGAGGAAATGCTAGTTTATCCTAAAAAGATGTTATTCCTGATAACGTGTGATGAGAGTTTATCATCATTATTTAAAAATAAATCCCCAAATACGTTTTCGTTTCTCAGTTTTAAACTCTTGATAAGGTAAATATCGGTAGGTTTCACCCACATAAGCATTGAAAAACAAAAACAAAACAAAACCTTTGCATCGGCAACTGTGAATGCTTACAGAGCTGTTTTTCCGTTCAACAATTCGCGTACACTGTGAGCCAGCTCCTCCATCACCACCCCCGCAGTGTGACACCACTCCTCTGGACCCCTCTCTCCCCAGCCCTCAGAACTTCGTCCTTGGGTAAACGCGGTCCTTTGACCTCAAATGGCTGATTATTCTAAGGAATTCTATTTTACTAATCTCATTGCTCCCTTGTAGAAATGTCTACTATTTGGCTGAAAATTAAGCCCCAGAGGGGTGGGGGGTTCCTTTCCAGACCTGAAGGTGGGAGAGCTCTGTGATTCTGAGTGTTGTCCCACATTTGTGTCCCTCTCTAACCCTGTCAGAGCAGTGGGTGGTGAGAGCCAGGCACCACCTAGGTTATTCTGGTCTCAGGGCTGTGGACCCTGACATTTGCATGGCCCGTGAGTCCACTGGTTTCCACGTGTTGTGGGGTTCAATCGCTCTTCCTTCCTGGGGCGGGGAGAGCTTCTGGAACCCCAGTGACCATGCAGCCGTGTAGGGTGGTGAGCACAGTCTTGGTGAGGCATGCTGGGCCCACCACAGCACAGCAACTCACTCCCTCAAGGTGCTCGGTTACAACAAGAAGCTTTTGTCACCCGGCCCCCTGGATGCTCCACCACATGCCCGACGTATGTCTACATAGGTCCCCTGTCAAACGAAGAATACTGTACTCAGACTCTCCCGCCCTCCCTCCTACCCACGCAGTGCCTGCACAGGGATCGGGAGAGGAAGGACTCACTCCACTCCACACACTGCAGAACCACTTGGGACAGAGTGCCTGGCCAGGACCCAAATTCTCCGAGCATCCGCTCCAGGCCATGGCAGTCACCGCCGACGGTCACCACTCTCCTCTCTGAGGATGCCCCTTATCTCCCCAGCTCAGCTCTCTGCACCTTGAGCAAGTTGTGCCCTCGACAGCACGGCATAGAAAAGCCTGGTGGCACCGTGGGTTAAGCACCTGGCTGCCGACCTGAAGGTCAGCAATTCGCACCCATCAGCAGCATCATGGGAGAAAGAGGGGCCACTGCCCCTGTACAGAGTTATCACGTCAGAGCAGCTCCACCGTCCTACGGGGCCGCATGAATGGGGACAGGCACAAAGCAGTGGGGGTCTTCACACAGCATCATGTCCTGTACCTGTCCGTGTGCCTAGTGAGCCCGCCCTACTGGGCTGTCTGCTTGCACCTCAGTCTGCAGACTCCCTTCCCCCCCAGGCTCTGAGAGGCTCATCAGCACAGGGATGGCACCTGTGTACATAAGTGCCTGCCACCCTGGGGCCAAATCACAGGACTCCATCAGCCAGTTGATGTAGCTGGCAGACGTCCACAAACCTAGTGGGACGCAGACTACTTACTCCCCTGCCCCCCACCCACCCACCAAGGAACCAGAGGGTTGGCGGCTGCCTGCTGCTCTCCGCCGCGGGGTCTGTGAGTCTGCAGGCTGGGCATGAGCTCGGAAAGGCTGTAACTGGGGTGGGACCATGGTTGGCTTTGGGTCTCTGGTCTGGGTTTGTGTCCCCGAGGTACGTGGCTTCCTCGCCCTTATCTCTGCCCGCTCTCAAACACTAGGGGTAAGGCCAGTTCTGCTGTGAGTTCAAAGGTCAATGACAGGACACGCTCCGAGTGGTGGCTGCCACGGCAGCACTGAGATGGCCGCTGTCAGGACGGTGAGTGCAAGAAGGAACTCCAAAACGAGCCCCCTTGGGGCAGCCCCTCAAGGGAAGAGCCACTGGGAGTCTGGCTTCCTGACTCAGTTTCCTTGGTGGCGCTCTGACAAGGGCACCCACCCAACTTGGCAAAATAAAACTAAATCCCACAAGGTGTTGCGGACGACAGTGGGGGTGGGGGTGGGGGTGGGGTGGGGGTGTAACTACACTGAGACTTGTTGGAGATGATGCTGAAGAAAGATGGTGGCCCTCGCTCCACAGGGAGCGCCCTGGGCGGTGGGCGCGGTGGGGACCACCACTTCACCAAGCGTCCGTCCTTCTCCAGGGACTGGCGACTCCTGACACGGAGCCCCCGTGCCGCTGCAAGCACTCCAGCAGGCCTCCTCTGCTGGCCGCCCTGGTCCCTGGCACTTTCAGGACTCTTCCCAACACCACCTTTCTCAGTCTTCCTTAGCCACGCCCATCCTTCACATGCAAATGAGGTGCCTCATTTAATCTCTCTGGTCCCATTTCAAATTCGTTCACATCCTCATCTTTATCTCCAAGCAAGAAGGCGAAGCCCTTGTGGAGACTGAGGACATCCCCAGGGGAAGGTCACCTTGGTCACCTTGGTGACCTCAGGTAGGACAGAACAAGAGGGTGATCTTCAGGATCAAGTCCCTCCACGCCCAAGGAGGGCTCCCACCGCCGCTTACAAGACTGATGGACATGGCACGAAGTCCCCTGTGTCTCTTCCCAGAGGGACTGACAGACGCGCTGATCCAGCGTCCATCTGAAAGCCCGTGCCACTATGGGGCGTGCATGTTCCCAGGAGGCCGGAGGCCCGGCTACCAAGGGTCACCAGGGTGGACGGACTTGCCACCCAGAGTTTCCAGAAACCATCTGAGGGTTGAGGATGAAAGGTCAGGCGAGCTGCTTCCAAAAACCAGCAGCCAACCACAGCCCTGTGAACCACAAGCGAACACGGAGACGGCCTTACCTAAGCGACTGGGACAGAGCACCCCCCTCCCAAGGCCCTGGGCAGGGGCCCTGACGCCCGGAGCTCCTCCTCCCAGGACAGGCTCTGGACTCCACAGTCACGTGGGCCGGAAGATGGATGCTCGCCTGCAGGTTGCCAGGCTCTGTAAACACGGGCACCGGAGCGGCACTATGCCTCACACTTGTCAGGCCTGCCAATAAACCATTTCATCAGAGAGCAGATCGCGGGTGAAAAATGAAAAGCCGGCATCGATTTCATTGTACGGCTGATTTTATTTACAAATAGAAGGCAGATAATCTTGTATTTAAATGGCAGGAGTTCCATCACTCATGATCAAACCAGTGACATTTGAAATTTATAAAGTTTCACATTACGATTCAATCTCTTTACCAAGAGGGGGGCCTTCCAGGGGAGCTTGGCTCAGAGTGGTGATGGCCCTGTCGGAGAGGGAGATGCCCGCGGATGCTCTCCGCCGGGCGGCGTCCCCCGACAGCGGCGGCCCCGTGTGAAGCTCTCCAGAGTGGCACAAACCCGCCCAGCTTCCCGCAGAGAATCAGAGCTCATCCTGCAGACGGCACCTCAGGCCCAAGCCTCAGATGAGGGTCTGCCGGTGCCTGTGTGGGCCCCCCATGGAGCCATGGAGCGGCACCAGAGAACCCACGACAGTGGCTCAGGAAACCCACCCTGACAGCTGGACATGGGGCCACGGCCATGTCTGCCCAACAGGAGGGCCTGCGGGCCCACTCAGGGTAGCCACACACCCTCCACCATGGTGCCAGCACCTAATGCCAGTTCATGTGCCCCTGCGGAACAGACGGCCCAGGGCATTTTGACCCCAGGAAACATTCATCCACAGAAACCCTGCCCATCTGGCCTTCAAAGCGCGAAGCAGGTAAAGTGAGTCAGGACAAAGCGGCAGTCACTGTGTGCTCTATGCCAAATGTGCGTCCACGGGGCACAAGTGTGACTCTCGGTGCTGCGTGACCCTTCTCAGACGCAGTCACCCTCTGGGTGGTCGACCCTCGGCTCCCTCATCCACAGGGTGAGGCTCTAACTCTAGTCCATCTCTTATGAGATGTAAAAGGATTAACAGCGGGAGCAGAAATACAGAGAGCTACCACCACCCAAGAAAGAAGCTGGGGCATGTCCTTTGGACCGGGGTCTCTGTGGAAGGAGCCTCCCAGACCAGGGGAACCTGAGGGCAAGGCGCATGCACGGAGCCCTCCAATGTCACCAGGCCCCTGGATGCTGCAAGGAGACAAGGACCTTCCCCACAGTCGACGACGAGGAGGAGAACGCCTTCTCCCAGAGCCAGTACCCCGACTTTCAGAAGCTTCAGCAGTGCGGAGTGAAGCATGGATCAACACTGTCCCCTCGGGGCGCTTCAGAAAGCTAAGGCGCAGCGTGGCCCTCGCATGGGAAATTCCTAGAGCTGGCAGACGCAGAGAAACCAAGATGGTTCATGGTTTCCAAGGGTGAGTGGAGGGTACAGGTGAGACGTATTTTCAGGAAGCCCTAGATTTCTGATGCCGTGGTAGCAGTGAATACGGTGACAGTGGCACACCGTGAGGACTACAACGGAGACCACACCCCCGTACACAAGAAGACGCTGACCTGGCAAATTTTACAACAAAAGAAGGAACCCAGCTCCGACCTCCTCTGTGTGCCCCTGGACAAGCCCCCTGGGCCAGGGGAGCACGGACCCCACGGCTTAGACAACGAGAAGTCAAGGACGGGAGTGCGAGGACCGGTGGACCTGGCAGAGCCCGGCCAGCCTCCGGCCGCCCATCCCTGGGTGGCCAGGCCTCCATGCTACTCCTTGACCGCCACCCACCAGGCTGTGCAGGCCCTCTGCACGGTTCTCCCTCACACCATCCCTGCCGCTCAGGCGACAAGCTAGGACCCACCCAGTGCAGCCAGAGGGATACCCCTGCACCAGGGTGAGCAGGGCAGTGGGTGCCCCTGGTCAGCCCAGCAGGATGCCGTGGGCTCCCAGAGGGAAGGCAGCCTCACGCTCTCTCCCACCCACAGCCCGCCCCCCGCAGAGCCTCACCTGGATGCCGTCCAGCAGCCGGCTCATGCACCAGTAGGTGTCCGCCTCGATGTTGCGCAGCACGTCCTCAGGCACCTGGGAGACGTCCACAGCATCCACGTCCTCCCCGTCTGCAGAGCGGGAGAGACCACAAGCAGTCAGCCATGGGGAGACACACTGGCCTCACCTGCCGGTGCCCCCACACCCACCCGCCCCTCCCGCTTTACCCAAGGCCCACACCCAGACCCTCCACCACTCACTGGTGCTCAGCCTGAACACCTAATTAACATTCTGAATCCACTCCAATTAATCAGCATCACTAGCAGATGGTGGATGATTGCTCCTCGGGCATTTCCCATCTGAGAGACACAGAGAGAAGCCCAACCAGGCCAAATGCCCCGCGGTCCAGATGGCTCCACCTCACCTACCCCAGACTGCACTGCTTCTCCCAGCAGCCCCGAGTTCCTCAGCTCCGGGCAGTAGGGGGTGGGGGATTCTAGAGCCCTGTTCATGCAGGGGCTTCCTGAGAGCCTGTGGGCGCGCACGCCCCACTCCTTACGTGGCACCAGATGGCTCTGAAGCAAGCCGGTGCCTCGCTGATTCTTGTTTTATTACTGTTGCCTGTTTGTTATCAGTCGCTTAGGAAACCGTACGCCGGGCCCTAAAGCACACACGTCTGATAGCAGTAAACGCAGGAGAGGCTTCAAGGCGGGGGAGAGTGAACGAGAAGACGGTGGTGCTTCCCCACGAGCTGTGGGCCCTTCACGTGGTGCGCATCTCTGAGGGCGCGCCGGGGCAGACCAGTGGCAAAGCTGCGCGTGGTTCCTTGTAACTCGGAGAGGAGAGGCTCGGTGTTGGCGACCACAGGACGGCTCTAGGCCGCTGCGCGGTCGCCCAGGGCTGGGTGGACGCCGTGGCGGCGAGTGCGGAGTCTCTGGAGACTCTGCCTCCATCTAAGTTCTGTTTGTGCTTTCGCTCTTTTCTTCTCTTTCACTTTTTAATCGTTTCATTAGGGGCTCATACAGCGCTTATCACAATCCATACATGCACCAATTGTGTAAAGCACATTTGTGCATTCATTGCCCTCATCATTCTCAAAACATCTGCTCTCCACCCAAGCCCCTGGCATCAGCTCCTCATTTTTCCCCTCCCTCCCTGCTC